ATACATACATACATAGGTATATCTATATATATATACACATATACACGAACATATATATATAATTATTTATCTATCTGATCTATCTATTTATTTATTCATTTATTCACCTATTTATTTATTTAAATGTCCAATCCTGTCCTATCCCATCCCATACCTCTCCTATACGATGCTATACTCTACTATACCATACAAGACTCTATACTCTACCTCTAAGAAAAAGCTACGAGCAGAGACGTTCGCTGAGGGCGAGCTGCCGCTTTGCTTGGAATGCCCGTGGCGGTCTCGGCCCTGGTGATTGCAGCCATCCTCCCGAAGTTTTCGCAGCGTTAAAGGCGAGATTTCGACATGTCCCAGGGTTTAGGGTTTAGGGTTTGGGGGTTTGGGGCTTATGGTTTAGGGTTTAGGGTTTAGGCCCCCTCCCCTCTCCTTGCATTCACCTTTCTCTTGTTGTCTTCTCGAAGGGCTTCAAGAACGACCTGGTCCATTCGCACCTGAGACCAGACGGCTTCAGGGCCAGGGACCCTTCACGTAATTATATTATCTTATGTTATCTTATATTATATTATATTATGCCGCGAGTCGCCTGCGCCTTCAACGGAAGTGCGGTGGGCACTGAAATCGGTGCAGTCGCGCTCACCTGCAGCCGCCACAAGCGCTTAAAGAGCCCACGAGTTTGTCTGCCGCTGTGCCTTCACAGGCGGATGCGGCGGCCCGTTCGGGCATGGCGGCGGTGCACTGTCAGAATCCAGCGTCTCGGGCTGGAAGTCTGGAGGTACCTGAGACAACACTGAAGACCACAGTTGTACGTTTCCCCACGAACGCTAACATCTTGCACGATGTCTTTCTGCTCCACCTGGCGTGTGTCGGCCAACTTCAGCTGGGACTGACCACACAGCGCATGAAGTGTCTCTCGCACACCTTCGCAGGCAGCACCTCTAGCCCTGCTTCTGCAGCCTTGCGAGTTCAAGACCGTAAGCAATCAGTGCCTGCTGAGGCCTGTGCCTGCAATGATCTCTTCAGCATGGCGCATGTTGCTGAGTAGTTCCTGGACTCTGCACCCGCTAAACTGCACCCAAGGAAACCGGCAGGAGTATGTCCTCAGCAGCTGAAATTCGCTGCAAACAGGTGTGCAGAACGTCGTGGCGAGCTGGCTGAACTGGCTCCATGGCGACTGGCGACTCGTGGGTCATTGTGGGTCTTGCAGATACCTTGACAAGTGTGCGCTGTCGGCGTCTGCCTGCAGTTCACTGACCCATACCAGGCCAAGACCAAAGCCGTGACGCGAAAATTGCTGCGGAAAGATCTAAGAAAATGAGTTGAGCATGCAATCATCTCTATTTCAACCTGAATCGTTTCTGAGGTTCCGACCATATGCATCTGCAAGCACCTGTCCTTTGTCCTCGTGAGGGGCAAGGTTAGCAGCTTCTTGCGCTCTGGCGCGCCCAGGCCCTGATCGCCCTTGCTCGCCGCTTTGTGCACAGAATAGGGAAGAGCAGCAGCGCCCGTATTCAAGAGGCAGACGGGCGGAGCACGTCTCAATCAAACTGAATCAGGCACAAAAGAGCGCGCTCCTCGATTTCAGCATATCGGAAATCGCAAACCTGAACTGACAAGGCTGCTTCCCCGGACAAGTGTTCTGGCATGTTCAGTTCCCCTACTGTGCAGCCAGGAGACCCGTTTTTCAAACCGTTTGCGGGCCTCCTTTGCGTTTTCCACGGCATCCTGGCAAGACTGCATCATTGCACCGTGTGTTGAGGACTTTGCGACAGGCGCCTTGAGGCTCTCGTCAACTGATTTGACAAACTTCTTAAGCCCGGACCGCTCGGCCAGGGTTGAGCACTCCTGCCAATGCCAACAAGACACAGAAATACCCCTGATGGCAACGGCCCTCGACGGCTGCCAAGCCTAACAGACACACACACACACACACACTTTTTGGCTCGGCACGATCTGATGTAAAGGACGACAGACAGGACCAGACACGACCAAGACAGATTACAGCAACCGTACATGTTCACTGAGGCCAATGACAGAAGCAACAGCATTTTGGGGTA